TGATTGCTGCATACTAAGTGTTATGGTGGGATGACCCATCCCTTGCCGCCCTGGACAAATGTCCCATTTGACACAGGAACACTGTTATGCAGCAATTGTCATTTTCAAGTGAAATGATTTGGTACTCTATTAATATGAGGGAAAAACATATTGAAAACAATCCAAAAATTATATAAATTGCCTATTTGTCATAGAATAGATATTCACCATTTGACACTGTTCTTGCAATTATTCAGTATATACAAGACCTGTTGCATTTATTTTAATTCCAGTTTAGTTGATCAGGCTGAAAACTACTTGTGTTTCGATTGCTGCATACTAAGTGTTATGGTGGGATGACCCATCCCTTGCCGCCCTGGACAAATGTCCCATTTGACACAGGAACACTGTGATGAGCAATTGTCATTTTCAAGTGAAATGTTTTGGTACTCTATTAATATGAGGGAAAAACATATTGAAAACAATCCAAAAATTATATAAATTGCCTAGTTGTCATAGAATAGATATTCACCATTTGACACTGTTCTTGCATTTATTCAGTATAATTAAAGACCTGTTGCATTTATTTTAATTCCAGTTTAGTTGATCAGGCTGAAAACTACTTGTGTTTTGATTGCTGCATACTAAGTGTTATGGTGGGATGACCCATCCCTTGCCGCCCTGGACAAATGTCCCATTTGACACAGGAACACTGTTATGCAGCAATTGTCATTTTCAAGTGAAATAATTTGGTACTCTATTAATATGAGGGAAAAACATATTGAAAACAATCCAAAAATTATATAAATTGCCTATTTGTCATAGAATAGATATTCACCATTTGACACTGTTCTTGCAATTATTCAGTATATACAAGACCTGTTGCATTTATTTTTATTCCAGTTTAGTTGATCAGTCTGAAAACTACTTGTGTTTCGATTGCTGCATACTAAGTGTTATGGTGGGATGACCCATCCCTTGCCGCCCTGGACAAATGTCCCATTTGACACAGGAACACTGTTATGCAGCAATTGTCATTTTCAAGTGAAATGATTTGGTACTCTATTAATATGAGGGAAAAACATATTGAAAACAATCCAAAAATTATATAAATTGCCTATTTGTCATAGAATAGATATTCACCATTTGACACTGTTCTTGCAATTATTCAGTATATACAAGACCTGTTGCATTTATTTTTATTCCAGTTTAGTTGATCAGGCTGAAAACTACTTGTGTTTCGATTGCTGCATACTAAGTGTTATGGTGGGATGACCCATCCCTTTCAGCCCTGGACAAATGTCCCATTTGACACAGGAACACTGTTATGAGCAATTGTCATTTTCAAGTGAAATGTTTTGGTACTCTATTAATATGAGGGAAAAACATATTGAAAACAATCCAAAAATTATATAAATTGCCTAGTTGTCATATAATAGATATTCACCATTTGACACTGTTCTTGCATTTATTCAGTATATACAAGACCTGTTGCATTTATTTTAATTCCGGTTTAGTTGATCAGGCTGAAAACTACTTGTGTTTCGATTGCTGCATACTAAGTGTTATGGTGGGATGACCCATCTGTTGCCGCCCTGGACAAATGTCCCATTTGACACAGGAACACTGTTATGAGCGATTGTCATTTTCAAGTGAAATGATTTGGTACTCTATTAATATGAGGGAAAAACATATTGAAAACAATCCAAAAATTATATAAATTGCCTATATATTTGTCATAGAATAGATATTCACCATTTGACACTGTTCTTGCAATTATTCAGTATATACAAGACCTGTTGCATTTATGTTAATTCCAGTTTAGTTGATCAGGCTGAAAACTACTTGTGTTTCGATTGCTGCATACTAAGTGTTATGGTGGGATGACCCATCCCTTGCCGCCCTGGACAAATGTCCCATTTGACACAGGAACACTGTTATGAGCAATTGTCATTTTCAAGTGAAATGTTTTGGTACTCTATTAATATGAGGGGAAAACATATTGAAAACAATCCAAAAATGATATAAATTGCCTAGTCGTCATAGAATAGATATTCACCATTTGACACTGTTCTTGCATTTATTCAGTATAATTAAAGACCTGTTGCATTTATTTTAATTCCAGTTTAGTTGATCAGGCTAAAAACTACTTGTGTTTCAATTGCTGTATACTAAGTGTTATGGTGGGATGACCCATCCCTTGCCGCCCTGGACAAATGTCCCATTTGACACAGGAACACTGTTATGCAGCAATTGCCATTTTCAAGTGAAATGTTTTGGTACTGTATTAATAGGAGGGAAAAACATATTGGAAACAATCCAAAAATTATATCAATTGCCTATTTGTCATAGAATAGATATTGACCATTTGACACTGTTCCTGCATTTATTCAGTATGAAGACCTGTTGCATTTATTTTAATTCCGGTTTTTAGTTGATCAGGCTGAAAACTGCTTGTGTTTCGAGTGCTGCATACTAAGTGTTAGGGTAGGATGACCCATCCCTTGCCGCCCTGGACAAATGTCCCATTTGACACAGGAACACTGTTATGCAGCAATTGTCATTTTCAAGTGAAATGTTTGGTACTGTATTAATATTATAATGTACAAACTTATTGGAAACAATCCAAACTAAAAATATATAAATTGCCTATTTGCCATAGAATCAAGTATCGAGCATTTGATACAATTCCTGCATTTTGTCAGGTTAAAGACTTGTCGCATCTATTTCAATTGCATTTTAATTGTAAGGCTGGAAACTGTATGCGTGGTTGTAAGTTTCGATTGCTGCATTATCTGCATATTAATGTTATGGTACGGATGAGCTACTGTATTTCTTGCCGCTATGTACAAATGCATGATTCATTTGACACAGAAATACTGTTATGCAGCAATTTTCATTTCAAATTCAAATGTTTTGATTGTTTTTGTTTAAGCTAAATAAAGTGCGATTGTGAACATTTAATACACCCACACCCTTACAGCCCACGAGCACTTTCCCCTTGCGCGGTAATTTATTGAATTATGTTTTTATACTTAGCAATCTCCTCACGCCAAAGGTTGACGTATTGTTCAAAGTCAAGATGGTAGAATTTAAACTTGTAGTAACCACCACACCAGAAGATGCTAGCTTTAAAGCATTTGTTTGGAGAAAGATAAGTCTATCCTTGCGACAACAACAAATCTCTTGGAAGCCCTGGTTAACCTTATATCATGCAGATTGTTATTGATGTATTTGATGCCAACTATCCTCGCTCTATATTTGATATGTTTATGGCAAATAGCCTAATTGGACATTTCTATTACAAATTGCTTACTTTATCTGATTGCAACAATATTTATCCCATTTGGAACTGGAGTTTATTTAAGATAGATGTGTAGATGAAAAATGTCTTAATGAAGAAAAGACTGAAGCCTAGACTGGTGCGATTATAATGGATGTTAACCTCGCAAATATGGCGTTGTATTTTACTGCCATATTAATAACTGTATGAAAACGTCTGATATGAACTATTTGCATTCATTTGTTATATTTGCATGTTCTAATGTAGAATATTTTAATGTATTACACAGCAGACCTTACAAGGCCGTTTTCATATTGATATTGTGTACATTCGAATTAAAATATTTTTTGACCAGATAATACAAAATACGTGTTCGTGTAATTTAATACTCAAGAAGGCGTGTTGTATTAGCATGCCATAACCGAAGGCGTGCTGTTTCAGCACACCCAAAAGGCGTGTTGTTTCAGCACACGTGAAGGCGTGCTGCTTTAGCACATCTATAATGCGTGTTGTTTTAGCACACGTAAAGGCGTGCTGCTTTAGCACATGCAGAACACGCCTAAACGTGCTAAAGCAACACACCTTTAAGTTGTGCTGTCTTAACACACATCGGATTACTAATAACACACCTAAGCGTGTCTCCTAACGCACCTTTTAGAGTAACACGGCTTAAGGCGTGTTGTTTTTTGGACAAGCATAAAACACACCTTTTGGTGGGTTACCGTAACACACAATGTGTGCTATTTAAACACAGCTAAAGATGTGTTGTTTTCTGGACAGAAAAGTTGTGTTATTCCAACACATCTATTTTTTAGAGTGTATATGGTATGTTCCATAAGTTTCTTCCCCAGCTGTTTGTCAACAGAAGCCATCGGATGGCAAGCCGATCGACCACCGCTTATTCATAATTATTTGACAACAGTGTTTTACGTGTAGGTGAATTACCTGTAGGTGAATATAACAGATTAGTATAATTACATAGGTGATTATTGAAAATTTTCCACGCGGATTGGTTGCCGTTGAGGTGATTATTACGCGATAATCACCTAAGCGATTTTCAAAATGGCGGCCGAAGGCTTTTTGTCAATTAAATGACGAAGAAATGTGTATTTTCTTATTTTTTTCCAAATAATCACGTATGAAATTATACTAAAACAATTATTCTCGTCAGGCTCGGTGATTATCGTGAATAAAAACCTCGACTTCGTCGCGGTTTTTATTCACCGATAATCACCTCGCCTTCGGCGAATAATTGGTAGTTAATACGTCAAATTTGACCAATCACCTTATGTGATCTGTTATGTCCACTTGTGCAAAAATACTAAAGTTAAATATTCACCTATTTCTCATTCAGTTTTATCGGTAATTATACCAAAACAATTTCGGAATCGCGTATATTTTTGGAAGTCAAACGGCAAAAGTTCGGAGTTCCAACCCCTTTCCTCTTTCCTAAATTTCCTATCGGGTGTTCTTCTCGCATCGCGTGTTTTCTACACAGACTGCGTTGATATAACTATGGTGATATTATGTACAGAACATATAGTCGGCTTGGTATGAACCGCAGGAAATAAAAATACACATGAAAGAAATTCCCGGTCATTATTTCAAGTTCTGAGCATACTTATTCGTTCCAATATATCGTCCACATGCTCAAATTAGGTTATCGTAATTACGTACAATAGACCTGTAATTTCAAAATTTTTTATACCCTAAAATTCTCTTACTGCAATCATTGTTTCGTTTATTTAGATTATGAAGAAGAGGAAGAAAAATTAAACCAGGTAAATTAAAGCAATATCAAAGCAACAAGACCGGCCCTACCAACTGAAAACGCCGCAAATATATAACAACGTTTCTCTTCGGTGGAACAGCCCGCCATTAATAATGATCGCTCCCTAAACGTTGAAAGACTGAAAGTACGTAAAAATTATCTTCTAACTGAACGCCGCAAATATATAACGTTGATATATTTGTCAGAGTATGTGTTTCTATGTGTCTGAGTATGTGTTTGTATTAATCTCGTACCTAGAGCCATCTTTGAGTTGCTCTGGCCACACGGGTTTGAACAATGATCTTGATTGGTCGATCCACGACCCATAACTCTGCAGCGTTCAAGAGCGCGACCAATATCAGTGAATAGATTCATGCCTTGCCGGTAATTCGACAATGAAACGTGCTATAACACTTAACAAAATTTCCAATAAAGCTGTTTCACATTTATGTTCATCTGAATAACCCGGGGAACACTCATGATATCTAGCCATTACCCGTCCAGTTTAATTCAACGTGGATCCAGGTGGTGATTGTCAATAAAATGGGCACCTACTACTGATTCTGACAATCCATCCACAACAAGGAACGTTCATATAGTTTATAGTTCCACAGATTTTAGTTGGACCTCTACCTCCTCTTTCACTGCGATGGGTTAATGAATGAATGACATACGTCGTGAGGCACGCAACAAAATTAACAGCTAACTCTAATCTCGTATTTCTCAACCATGTTAAAGTAATCCATTTGCGACTTCCTTTTGAGGAAAATAACGACTTTGGAGATGGCTGCGATGAACAGTTACCCTTTAATAGCATCCCAACCAACAAAGTGTCGAATGACATGGTTTTTGGCGGTTGCAGTGAGGATATGAATGCAAGTGCCCAGCAAGAACAGTCGGTTGAAATAATGTAGAAACATGTTCAGGCAAGTACGTATAAAACGTACCGAGGCCTGTTGTATAAAAACGTTATTAAAGTTAAATGTAATTTGCAATAACTACCGTTGTTAGCATAGGTAATAGGATGGTTTCGAGTACGTGCATGCAATTTGGAAACAAAACATGCATTAGTGATTTTGTGTGTTTGGTGTTATGTACTCAAGTGAATATGATGTTTGTGGTGTTACTCTGAGTGTGCACCCACTGCACCGGACAAGCTGAATAGTTAGCTTGGGTACGGTGGGAATCGAACCCGCGACCTTTGCCACGGGGAAACTAGTCCAATGCTCTGCCAACTGAGCTATGTGGTCAAGTTGGTTCGAGTTCATGATACTTCGGAACTGAGTCAATCCCTTCGCTTTCAGTGTATTCTATGATATGATTATTGTTTAACATCACTAACATGCAAGAGTGAGTTTTTCAAAGAGCATCAAAACAGCGCGAGTCCAAAGGACGAGTGTTGTTTTTGAGGTCTTTGAAAACTCACGAGTGCCTGTTTTATCCTAGCCTGCGTGCAGGCCCAAGGGAACTTGATAGTGGGCCTGCAACCATCGCCCGGTATTTTCAAATACGCCCCTTTTCATAACACGCCCCATTCGCCCGTCAATTGTCAAAAAAGAACCAATGACAGCACCCAAATATTAACAAACAAACTCGCATTAAAATATTGCGGGGTTTTCTCTGCTTATTCAGAACACTAATAAACAATGTGTAAATGGCTGCGTTTTAACTCCAAAAAAGCAAGCAACGCAGTCAGTAATTGCCAAATTTGCAAGTGCTCATTTTCAACTAAAATCGGAACAGGCAAATTAAGACGAATTTCAACCGAAAACCAGTCTCAAACTTCAAATCGTGAGGGAAGTCGTGCGACCACATCAGCATTTATAATGTGTGCTTTGCTGTCGCCATTGTTATAAATAAATTGTCTCACTTATCAGATCATGTGTGCAATTCTTGTTGGCGGCGGAAAGTACGAAATTTGTTTCAGTTATTTCATTTGGTGAGAACTCTGCACAAGAAGAGAGCGTTCAGAGTCCAGATCGTTTCAAACGGCAATTTAAAAGAACATATAACGTATCAAGTCTGTTTGAAATTAATGAAACTCAAGTAAAGGTTACTATAGTTTACCCCAGTCGTATTAAATGTTGCTATTCCAACACCTCACGACAAGCAATCCTCATTGGCATAACGGCAAAAACATTTCTTCCTTCAAGTAAACAATAAACAGTCTGTTCTTGTTCCATTTGTAATCGAAAAAAGTGATCAATTTTCGAATTTTAAGCTTATCGAGAGCCTTTGTCTATGCCTTTGTGATGAATCACTGTTCCCTTGTGCCTGCACAATGGGCTAGGTTAATTAATTACCGATCGCCTCAGCTAGCCAATGGGAATTTAGCCGGCGGTTCGGCCGGCGAAAATCGAAAACATCGGGTGCTGGTTGCAGGCCCACTATCAAGTTCCCTTGGGCCTGCACGCAGGCTAGTTTTATCCATAGTATGTATGTGTATGTGTGTTAACAAATTATGTATTAATAATATACATTGTTTAACTTAGGTTTATCGGGAATCATCCAGTACCAAAGTTTTCCGGGCTTTGTTATATTTCGTTATACAACGCTGACAGTTTAATCGAAAATTCCACTCAACTATGTACGTTTCGTTAGTCTTGTTTTAGGTAAAGGTTTTTCCTTATAAAAAGATAAAAGCAATACTTTCAATTACAACCAAATTCAACGTTTACTTTATGTTTTGCGTCGTCATGTTTGTTTTGTTTTGAAGCAAACTGTGACTGTTACTTCAGAACTGCATGCTTTAAACTGAATGGTTGATCTTATCATCACATTGTTTTCCCACCAATTAGATCAGTTTGTTTCCGGTTTTTGCGCTGTGATAACTGAAAATTGCACTGCGATTACAAAAATTGCATTTTCATTACATTTCTGTTTGAGATTAAATGAACCAATCACAGTCGAGTAATATTTTATATATATTATTATACAAGAAATAGAGAAATCAATTTCACATTACCTAAGCCAAAAACGAACAATATGAAAAAGGCATTTGCCTATACAGAGGTGTTGAGGCTTGGAATAACCTTTCCACTGCAATCAAATCATCGAAAAATATCTCTAGCTTTGAAACAAAAATGAAGCGAATATACTAAAACTGGCAATTTATTTCCAGCTTTTGAATTAATTTGAAAACCATTGATAACTTCAGTGAAGATCGCGATTTTATATATTATTAGTATAATTACATAGGTGATTATTGAAAATCCTCCACGCTGATTGGTTGCCGTTGAGGTGATTATTACGCGATAATCACCTAAGCGATTTTCAAAATGGCGGCCGAAGCCTTTTTGTCAATTAAATGACGAAGAAATGTGTATTTTCTTATTTTTTTCAAATAATCACCAATGAAATTATACTAAAACAATTATTCACCTCAGGCTCGGTGATTATCGTGAATAAAAACCTCGACTTCGTCTCGGTTTTTATTCACCGATAATCACCTCGCCTTCGGCGAATAATTGTTAAATATACTTCAAAAATTCATTAATAATTCACGAGGAAAATGCAAAAGAATTGAATGTTTAATCAATGTTTGTAAATCGCATAAAGATTTGTCCTGATTTACATAAACTTCAGCATTGATTTTCTCGGCTTAGACAAGGTTTATTTTTAAATTTACTTCGCCAATGAACTCATAAGATGGGTCATTTTTTAAGTACGACAAAACATTCGCAGCCTATCTGTATCTGTATACAAACTCTCGCCTTCTGTTCGAGTTTGTATATCAGATACAGATCGGCTGCTCATGTTTTATCTAGTACTTATAACTAATTAAAATTGTTTGAAAAAAAACTAAGTGTACTAGTATTGGAGACAGAAACTCTTAACGGAGAAAAGCCACGCGCAAGCCATTCCCGCTCGAAAATCTAAAATACGAAGGCATTAATTGCGGTAATATTATGAGAAGACGCTTGTAAGACAAATCTGTATTTTTAGGTACCTTTGTAGAGTTAACAAACGATGATGGCGTAGTTTGTGCAGCGGCCTATATGACAGGTTTTAACGTGGTGCACAATCGATACCTGTCTGTTTTGGTGACATCTATACGGTTTCGGTCCACCATGGCCCATTTTTTTCGACGACGTTACAATAGAAGATGGTGGATTTTATGCTTGGCCGTTTATCACGAATACGTTCTAAACAAATTATTGTACCTTTTTGTAATTGTAATATTTTTGGAATTTTTGTAATTTTTTGTAATTGTAATGTTTTTGTAATTTTTCAGCGTGCTCCGTTTGTTTCATATTTAGTGTATATCGTATTAGCAAGAGTGGGGGTTTTAACTGTTGAGTGACACTTTTCTTGTATCGTTGGAAGCTGTAATAACCAAGTACGAGCCGACTAAAAGGTGCCAGTCGAAATTGTATTTTTTCACCTTCGTGCAACACCCGCAATCAAACGTTGGCAGGGTGTTGGGTGATGGCGTAATTGTATCATTGCTTCATCTTATACAAGTTTGTATACACCAGCAGACCTTGGCTATGTTTGCACACTATATCCTGATTAACTACCTACATTATCATGTTAATGCACAAGTCAATTCGTGCGTATTTACTTCCGGTATTCAAAAGACTGGTAATAGCATAATATTTAATGAAACTCGGTCTAACTTTGTCTTGACACAGAGGAAAAGTGGTGAAATTCCCTACGTACCTTGTAGCTTCAGCCGTTTCCTTATAGTAAACGCTTGTCTTTTATATTTACTCATTCATTAACTCCTATAGTTGGCAGACATCCCCCCCCCCCGCCATTTCCGCGCACTCGGCCATGCGCCTTGCGTTTGAACGCGGTGTTTCTTTAATAATAACAATCTTTATTTATCCATCTTCAGTATAAAAGTACAATGGATTTACAGTTTGATTGAAATTACGTTAAAAATATATTCGAACATTATATGCAGATAAGAAACTTATGTATGTATAGACAACTAAAAACTATGTAAGTACACTCGCACGACCCAAGGCTAAGAAGGAACGTTCATGTCTTTCTGTTCGGGATAATGTGTTTTTGCTGTTGATTTAATTTAATTTTATTTTTAATTTTATTTTTTTGCCATTGCAATAGATTTATATAGAGTAATATGGTTACAAATGACTGGAATTTCCACACAGAGATATTGTTCTCCAATAACGGGGTTCCAAAAAAGAACAACTTATGGTATATCTAATTATTTTAAAATTAAAGCAAACATAACAATTAAACACAAATACAAGAAGACAAGGCAAACGTATTGACGAACAAACGAACAAAAACTAAATTTAGCAAAATGTTCGAGTTGATAAGTTCGTAATTTACAATGACACAACTTGTGACCTTGTTTTGATAAAGTTTGGAAACAATTGCCAATTTAGAAAACATTGGAAACATTTTCATTAACATATTCAGACATTCAAATGCAAGATAAAAGTTAGGGAAAATATTCAATTATAAGGAACAAACAGAAAATTCCGTTTTTATTATGTTAAAGGTTGTTTTATCTCTCTTTTCGAACTTACAGTATGCAACTGAAATGTCCAAAGGACTCATTTTGCATAATGTTCACAGCGATGTCGCAGTTTTACAAGCGCGGAAAATTTTTAACTTTTAAATATTTTATGCACAATATATGAAAACTAGCTTCATTTTGATGTTTTTGGATAATTCAAGTGCCTAATTTTCTGCAAATCACCAAATGATAATGGGCTTTTCTAAATTTTAAACAATAAAATGTCATTTTTTTGCCTTTATTTTTGGCATGTACATGCCAAAATGTACACATATGCATGGAATACAAGCAAGCGATAGTTTGTTGTCGCAGTTTTTAATACAAGCGCGAAAAATTTTTAACTTTTAAATATTTCATGCACAATATATGGAAACTAGCTTAATTTTGACGTTTTTGGATAATTCAAGTACCTAATTTTCTGGAAATCACCAAATGATAATGGGCTTTTAAAATTTTTAAACATTTTTTTCCTTTATTTTTGACATGCACATGCCGAAATCTACACATACATGGAATACAAGCAAGCGATAGTTGTCGCAGTTTTACAAGCAAGGAAAATTTTTAACTTTTAAATATTTCATGCCCAATATATAAAAACTAGCTTCATTTTGATGTTATTGTTTAACTTAAGTACCTGATTTTCTGAAAATTACCAAATGATAATGGGCTTTTTTAATTTTTAAATATTTTTTTGCCCTTATTTTTGACATGTGCATGCCGAAATCTACACATGGAATAGCATTGCCTTTGACTTCGTGTTTTTGAAATCTGACACCCTATGAAACAAGCTGGAAAAAACTATGTTTAAACAAAAAAGCCCATTCTCATTTGGTGATTTTCAGAAAATTAGGTACTTAAATTGTACAAAAACATCAAAATGAAACTAGTTTTCATATATTGTGCATGAAATATTTAAAGTTAAAAATTTTCCGCGCTTGTAAAACTGCGACAACAAACAATCGCTTGTATTCCATGTGTAGATTTCGGCATGTGCATGTCAAAAATAAGGGGAAAAAATGTCCAAAATTTTAAAAAGCCCATTCTCATTTGGTGATTTTCAGAAAATTAGATACTTAAATAATGCAAAAACATCAAAATAAAACTAGTTTTCATCAATTCTGCATGAAATATTTAAAAGTTAAAAAATTTCCGCGCTTGTAAAACGGCGACAACAAACTTTCGCTTGTATTCCATGTGTAGATTTCGGCAAGCACATGTCAAAAATAAGGGGGGGAAAAATGTTTAAAAATTAAAAAATCCCATTCTCATTTGGTGATTTTCAGAAAATTAGGTACCTAAATTATACAAAAACATCAAAATAAAGGTAGTGTTCATATATTGTGCATGGAATATTTAAAAGTTAAACATTTTCCGCGCTTGTATACTGCGACAACAAACTATCGCTCGCTTGTATTCCATTTTGATAAAAAACAACTTGCTGTTTTTATCAATTTATGGCGCTTCATCTGGTCGAACTCGACAAAAATACATGTGATTGAACATACCTGATTTTCAAACACACATTCCAGTTGCAGGTTTTACGATAACAGCCGTTTAAAAAATTTTGTCTTCGTCTTTTTTTCATCTTATAAACAAACACACGAACGAAGTTGTTTTGAAAAACAATCGATCCTCGTGAGTGAGATCCCAGACTTATATCTACACTACAACATTCCCTATATAGTCAGCCGTGATTAAGAATCCAGAAAAAAGATTTTGTCTATAGTAATAGCACAGATCCCAAATCCATGGTGTATTCAGCTCGAATTGTACTTTTTTACGTAGTAATTTTAAAAAGAAGTCAAAACAAACATGCCTGATCGCACCAGGCATCAAATAAAAATGAAAATATGCGGGGGTGGGGATCATAGATATAGGAGACCCAGATTGCTGACTCGGCTGACGAGGCGCGCCAAATTAGAAAATCCAAGATGGCGGCTCAACAGGTCAAAAATCATAGAGCGACATAGGGGAAAACCATGTTTTTTCATTTTACGTCGTCCTACTGTTTCCGATCCCGTTGACCCACCTTTTTTTTGAAAGAACTAACTAGTGTGAAATTTTTGGATGTATATTTGTTCTAATTAGTACAATTTACAATTTGGAATTCGACCGGGCAAGAATGGGCAAAGACGAAAAGGGCGCGAAACTACCGGCCTGGTTTCTTTTCCTGTGTATTCCTTCAGTCTTAAAGGTTATATATATTTATATATATATATATATATATATATATATATATATATATATATATATATATATATATATATATATATATATATATATATATATATATATATATATATATATATATATATATATATATATATATATATATATATATATATATAAACAGCTGGGCATTTTGTACGGAGCATGCGCGAAAAAATCAATATGGCGACATATTTATAGGAGTGCTTCGTGGATTTATCTGGTTTTAAAGCTGATAAAACAACATTTCAATGAATAAAAACTTTGTAATATTTAGTGGAAAACATTAAGCTATGCAGTCCAAAGGTTTTAAATTAAAAATAAGTACTTTTGCTTTATTTTATTGCTTTTTATGCTTTGAAAACAGGCAAGCTCATATTTTTTGAAAAAATCTTATCTAATATTTTACCCATTATTTGTTTAATCTGAACAAAAATAGATAGAACACTTGGCTATATAAGTTATAAAGGTATTGTTAGCTGATCTGAAAGATTTCAGTATTTCAGGTACACATTTTAACAAAGAATAAAATTAAAATATATGCATATCAAAAACAATGGTTTTATTAGAACAACACAGAATAAGTTGTTATTTTCTATTTTTACAAAAAACAAGTTTGAAAACAGGATCTAGTCCTCCAGCTTGATGTCATATTCCATTTATTTGGATATTTGAATAAAGGAATGTGAAATAATAATTGAAACTTGTCCAAAATTTGATACCAACACTGGAGTGAATAGATACTATCACCTAAAAATAAAAGAAAACAGAACTTAAATTTATCATATAATGCTATGAAAAAATCTTAGATATTACAAGCATATAGTGAACACAACTCTTTAACAAATTCACTAAAATAAGTTAAGTTATGCTACGATAAGAGGATGGCAATATATGACAACATCAAATGTTACCATCTTCAGTGTCCAAAAAAAGTGCCGCGCGCACTTTTCGTGGTCGCATAACTGGCATTGCCACAAACCCAGGTGAAAAAGCAATTAGAAAAACCTGGTTTTGGGTGATGAGCATAGTCAAATTCTTGACTTATTCAATTTTCTAAGTTTTTCCAGGTAAACAGATCCAACATTGAAATAAGCCCCATTCGGGACCTCATAGGGTCCAAAATATTGTGTATGGACCAGATTTTTTTCAATTTTCTGTGATTTACATAACACTAGTTATAATTTAAGGCTCAACCAGTATTTTTCAAGACATATTTTCCTTCCAGAACACCTTTTCAAAATACTAACCCAAGCATGTCAAAAATAGTGTACATTTACAAGGGCAATTTCAACCCTTTGGCACATTTTTCCCATGAATG